CCATCTGCCTCTCCTCCCCGCGCAGGGGCTTCGGCTTCGTCACCTTCGTGGACCAGGCGGGGGTGGATAAGGTGCTGGCGCAGTCGCGGCACGAGCTCGACTCCAAAACAGTGAGTGGCCTCGCGGCTCCGGGGGTCCTGGGAGCGGGAGGCCGCGGAGGAGAGGTCGGGGCTCTGCCCAGGGGCAGTCGGACGGGGTCCTGACGGAAGGGGGAAGTTTTCCGAGTAGAAGGGCTGCCAGGCTCGGAAACTTTGTCACTAGAGTTGGAGGCAGAGAGAAGAGAAACCACCCGGGCCTGCCCTGAGATGCTCCATCCCAACCCCTCCAGTGTAGGTGAGGGAAGGCTCAGCTGCCCCCCGCCACCCCCCCGGCCCCCATAAGTGCTCATCTTCATGCCTCCGGGAGGAGGCTGGGGTGGGGCGAGGGCTGCAGGGACCCACCCCGTGGCTTCTGTGAACTGCAACTAGTATTTGGCGCTGACACCCCCTCATTCCAGACCAATGGCAGCGCATCCCTGAACACCCCCCTCCCGCCTCCCCTGACTCTTGGGCAGTGAACTCCTTGCTCTGTGACCTGCTGTACCAGGAAGGGTTCCTGAGGGGGAGCCAGCCTGCCTGGAAAGAGCCCTCTGAGGCTGGCTCTTAGCGGCCTGTTTGGGATTCAAGCTGCTGGAACATTTTTGCTGTTGTCCCACTGCTCCCGGGTGTCTTGGGCCCTGCAGGGGGCGCTGGCCCAGGCCCTGGCTCAAGGGGAGAGGGAAACGGAGAAAGTGATAGGGGTTACTCTGCGATGGGGTGACCTGTGACTGGGGAGACCATCTGCCCAGGGGCCGGGACAGTGTGCTCTCTCTCCACGCTCCCCCACTCTCCGCTAGCCCTGGGCCTCCCTGCTTGGGGCCGGCACTGGCTCCTGTTTACCTGCAACAATAGCTGGTTGTGCCCAAGAATTTGTTAAGTTGCCGCCTGTCCCGCTCCTGTTATCTCGGCCAGGGCTCCCACTCCTGCTCCAGTGAGGAGCAGACGAGGCCAGGCCTCAACTCTGCAGCTCTGAGAGGATCTTGGCTCAGCCTGAGTGACCCAGGCGGGGAACGGAGAGACAGTGGCCTATTGTTTTTGGTGATTATCTGCCATCAAGCTGCCTGTTCTCCTACCATCCCCTGTCCTCAGAATGCACGGTGGCTTCTGCACCTCTGTGTCCTGAGAGGCTGGGGCTGGGGCTGGGGGAATGGAAGGTTGATAAGGGCCAGAAGAGAGGGGAGGAAGGAGGGCGAGATGGCCTCCTTCTGAGATTTAGAACTCAGGGGCAGAGGCCTCGTGTTTGGCATTCTCCGGCCCGAGTTAGGGGGGGTGGGAGGGAGGTTTATTGTGGGGAGTCTATTTTGGGTTCTGACTTTTACCTTTTATTTACTTGTTGGGTTTTATTTATGTTGCCCGCTGTGAGTCAGTGGAGGTGGACGTACCCGGGTAGGGTGTGTGTGGGTCTGCTGGACGGAGCTTGGGTTCCATCTCATCTCCCCATGGGGCGGGGTCTGCGCAGGGGACGGACAGAGGGGTGCTCCGGTGGCTGGGGAGGCCGCTTCCAGGAGAAACGGGAGGAGGAAAACATGTACAAAATCACACCTTCAGACGGGGAAATGGTCAGCGGTGACTTTCCCTGGAGCCGAGTGGGGCTCGGGGAGAGAGGAGGCACTGCCCTCGCATGGATTTGGAAGGTTCCTTGTCTGTGGGCGAATCCCAGTGGGGGAGCCTAGAGGAAGCTGGCCCTTGGTTTGTGCCATTCAGGCAGAGAGCCGGTGGCCTAGAACAAGGCTGAGTTTTGAACAGAAGGAACTTTGGGAAAAGATAGCTTTTGCCTGCGATTGGCTGGCGAACTTCTGAATGGTGTCCACCCATGTGGGTGCCAAGAAACTCTGAAATGACCGGGCCTCATAGGTCCTGCATTGATCACAGTGTCTCACGCCCTGCCTTTTAAGTACAGGTAGAGCACCCTGGCATAACCACATGCATGTTGCTGTTCCCTTCTGGTTGGTTGTTCACAGCCCAGGGCAAAAGTGCCCCCCCCCCCGTAATAGCGCCTTTGCTTGTGCAATGAAGGGCAGTTCACAAAGGACCGCTTTCACCCTCGTTATCTCATTTGATTTCCCCCAGCCGCCCCTGCGAAAAGTGGATGTGATTGTTCCCACTTTGCAGATGAGGGAACTGAGGCTCAGAGGGGCCAGACAAGTTCCCAAGAGCACAGGCCCGGCCAGGGGCCCAGAACTTCTGAGTCTAAGTCCTCTGGCCGTGCACATCCCCAAAGCCTGGGCTCTGCTTCACCCGAGCCGAGCCTAGCGCGTTCTCAGGAAGCTGATTGTGTGCAGCCTCGGGGAGAGCTGTTAGGTGTCGGTGATATCAGGGAAACAGAACGGAGTGCATTCCTGGTGGTTTATGGACTCTTATCTTGAAGCTAAGGCTTTCCGTTCCCAAGCCTTCAAAGTCTGAATTGCAGGCCTCGCCTAGACAGGTGTCCGTCTGTGTGAAGTCAGTTCAGCTGGGAAGGTCCTCGAAATACCTGGTGCTTAAAGGAGTAAGACTTTACTTGCTTTGGGGGGCTCTTGCTGTAAGCTAGACACCCTGCCAAGTGCTTTGCAAGCGTTATCTCATATAGCCTGCAGATGTCCCTAGGAGGTGGATGTCACTCTTTGTCCATTTTGCAGGTGAGCTTGACCCTGAGGCTCAGAGAGTTTAAGTAATTTGCCTAAGGTCTTTACAGCTGGGAAGCAACTTAAGTGGGATTTGAACCCAGCAGCCTGGCTCTAGGGCCTAAATGCTTAATCACTGCACTTTCCTGCTAGAGGCTGGTTTCTGTCACCTCTGTGTCCTGGGATGAGAAAGGTCTTCAGGGCTGCAAGTTGTGTGGTCACCCATCAATGTGTGATAACCAAGGCCCCTTCTCTTTCAGATTGATCCCAAGGTGGCCTTTCCCCGGAGAGCACAGCCTAAGGTACGTGTGTCTGTCTGGAGGAGCTCTATTATGGAGGGCAGAGATGTTCCCAGCATTCCTTTCTGTGAAAGATGCTTCTGGAACCTCTGTATGGACTGGGATGGGGGGAGGGAGAATTCTCGATATCCTTGCTCTGTAGATTGAAGACACCATGTATCATCTTTCCGTCTGTGCTCTGGGGTGGACTGGGAAAGGGGCTGCATGTGTTGGAATAAGGGGAACCTCTAAGCAGCGGTTCTCAACCTGTGGGTCGCGACCCCTGAAAATACATCCTGCATATCAGATATTTACATTACGATTCATAACAGTAGCAAAATTACAGTTATGAAGTAGCAACGAAAATAATTTTATGGTTGGGGGTCACCACGACATGAGGAACTGTATGAAAGGGTCGCGGCATTAGGAAGGTTGAGAACCACTGCGTCTAAGGGGACTCATTGTCCTGTATTTGAAGCCAGTTTGGTTTGGACCCTGAGTGGAATTCTCACCTCGGAGATCACAGCCTCTGTTCCCAGTGCCCTGGGGGTCAAATCCAGGACAGACCTACCCCCTGAGGCTGAGCTAGAGTAGGGCCAGGGAGCTGCTTCTGACCCCGGTCACCCTGCTCCCTCTTGATGTGTTGGGCTTGAGGAGGGGGAAGGGACTGTGGAGTCCATCACCTGCTGTCTTTCAACTTGGGTGACCGTGGCCGCCCTCCTAAAAGTCTCTCTTTCCCTGGTGCTGTGGCAAGTTTCTCTGGGTGTGCGGAAAACGGATTTCTGAGCAGTTGAGCTATATAGCACTCAAAACTTTGGGTCCAGGGCAGGGGCCTAAGGTTCTATTCCAGGCCCCAGGGCAACTAGCCGGATCTTAATTTTTAAGCAGTTGAATATAGGAGACAGACAGGACGGCTGGTTACAGAACAGGGGCCCTGTGTCTCTGACTTATCAAGTGTCCTAGGATGGGTCCCGCTCCAGGAGATCTTCCTTTCTCCTTTGCAAGAGGGGTGTGGGCACTGAGATGCTCGAGGGTTCTGAGCCATGGTGCCCAGCTCCTGCCACAGCGAAGGGAGGGGGGCAACTTGTACGAGGCAGGAAAGGGGCATCCCTGGCAGGGCCTGAAAGCAATTATGGAGCAGGTATTCGAAGGCAGCCACGCCGGGGAGCACATGGTCGGAACTGGGTTAATTCCATTAAGCAGTTTGGTGACAGAAGGTGCTTTAGTGTTAGGATGGGGCTGGGAATTGCTGTGGATTAGCCATGGGCTCCTGGGGTAATTAGGACCATGTGTTCTTCCTAAAACAGGACTGGGGCCACAGGGCTGCTAGAGGTTGGATTGGGAGGAGATTGATGAGGAAAATGTCGGCATGGAGTTTAGGGGGACCCTGTGATGGGCCTTGGCCTCTCCCAGGGGGAGCTGGCGGGGTCTTTAAGTTAGGCTGTATGTAGGTCTGGGTCACTAACCCACCGCCTTCTCTGTGGTGGTCTTTAGGGAAGGCATTTTCCCCATAAGACCCCAGGGAGGGAGACACATTGGAGCCAGCCAGGGTGTGGGGTGCACAGCTGCCTGTGACAGGCCTAGAAGCGGGGGTCTGAGGGGGAGCTCAGGGGGGGCCTTCCGAGTAGCTGGGGCCACAGAGAGCTTGTCAGCTGGCGCCCTGGCAGGAGGGCTCGAGCCCCTGCTGGTGGCAGTAGGCCACAGGACTCAGATGCCCACTTTCTCATTCTCTCCCCCTAACAGATGGTGACTCGGACGAAGAAGATCTTTGTAGGGGGGCTGTCAGTGAACACCACGGTGGAGGATGTGAAGCAGTATTTTGAGCAGTTCGGGAAGGTGGGTCCAATCTGGGGGCTCGCTGGGGGTGTGAAACGCCTGGAGTTGGTCAGTAGCGAGCAGAGTCCAGCCAGGTCACTCCAGTTGCTGCACAAGGTGAAAGAGGGGTGGGTCCTTCTGAGGGTGAGGCAAGGCCAACCCACTGTTCCGGTTCCTGGCCTGCCTATGGGCCTCACACTCTGGACACATCCCCAGGGACAGAAGCCACACAGTAGCTCTCTCTGTTGTTGCCCTTCCCCTGTGTTTTTCTCTTCCTTATCTCCGTTCTCCCGAGGGAGGCCGCTCTCCTGTAGCCAGTTCAATCCAGTCACCCCCTTGGCCTCCTGGGAGCTTGCACCTGTCCAGGCCATGGGCGGTTGCACCTTCCCCCACTCCTTCCTGGTGAGGATGATAAGGGGGCAATAAATAGGACTCCCAATTGCACCAACACTCCGCTGGCACAGGTGGGAGTTTGGGGCAGGAGCTGGGGAGGGGGGGCTGAGCCTCTACCTATTTATTAGTGTGGGGTGGAGGGTGCTGGAGATCAGGCCCAGAGGGTTGGCTCTCTGCTCGGAGATGCATCCAGCTTTAATTTCTGGGCTGTTTGTGAAGTATGAGATGTAGTGACAGCAGACCATAGGCTGTCCCCAGAAAGGTGAGCGATGTCAGAGCCAAGGTTCCATGGAGAGATGGCCAGGAGGGGACCAAGTTTTAATCTGAGGATGAAGCAGGACTGTGTGCGTAGTACTGGGTCCCTGATGGGCTCCTGCGTGAGGCAGGCTACAGGCCGGGTCTCTGCTTTCCTATCAAGGCATCTGCAGTGCCCTTTTAGGCAAAGGGCAGAGAGGTGGCTGGGGAAAGAGGAGGTGAGTTTCCAGCTCCCTGTCTCCAGGGGAGAAGGCCAGAAGGTGGGAGGTCCCGGGGCCAGCGGATGCTGGCGGCGCGGGGGCCAGAGGCCAGCAGGCCCCGCTCGCTCCGGCGGGGTGTCTTTGTGTCTGAGCGCCGAGCATTAGAGCTCGCACTAATCTGATCCAGCAGCTGTGATTGGAGGCCGCCTGCCCCCGGGGCCGGCGTCGCCATGGCAACCGGGCCCCAGGAGAAGCCGTCAGCGGCCGCGTCTTTTGTTCGGGCCTAAATCGGCGTTGGCATGTGAAACCGGCCCGGGGAGGCCAGGGGGAGCCGGAGAATAGGCTGCCAGGGAGCGAGGGGGACAGCCGGGAATGCCAAGGGCCCGGCGGCGGGGGGGCCCCCCGCCCGGATCGAGGGGCCGCCGCCGAGGGGGGAACAATGGTCAGCCGCCATGGCTGCCACTCAGGCTTAGAGGCCGCCGAACTTGGCGGCTCCCACTGGTCAGCAGGCCCCGGCCGCCTCCCCTCCCCCTGCCCAAGCCCCCCTGCCCTCGGGTTCCCATGGAGACCAAAGCCTATTAAGGACACCGCGCTGGGAGCCTCTCTCCCCTGAGCTGGCCCCAGGAGGGGACACTGGTGGGGGTCCTCTGGCCCCCCAGCCACTGTCCTGGCTCCCTGCCCTGGCCTCCACCCCAATGCCCCGCTAGGGTCTGTCCAGCCAGAACTCAGGTGGAAGGGTCTGGGGGGTCAGGGATGGGGGGTTGGAAGATTGGGTAGAGGAAGGCAAAAAGGGCTGTGGATTTGGGCTGAAATCAATTTGTGAATCAGGCAGGAACTCAAAGTGATAGTATTAGAGGGCTGGTTCTTAGTTCATTCATTCATTCAAAAAATAATTTTTGAGCCCAAGTCAAGATGCTCAGTCCATTGGTTATGGTAATAGCTGACACAGGCACTGTTCGCATGAAACTTTTGAAGGCAGTGGTGTGGGGCTGCTCTCTCCAGCTTTGCCCCTCTCCCTGTGACTGTGGGCAAGCCCCTCCATGATAAGGTGATAATGATAGTCATTATTTATTAAGCACTTACTGTATCCCAGGAACTATGAGTTGAGTGTTACATGCACTATCTCATTTAACTCCTCCCTAAGACACTCTTATACCAGTTTCACAGATGAGTAACCTGAGTCATGGAGACACAGAGACACTTGCCCAAGATTACCCACCAGCAAGTGCAGGACCTCGGATCTGAATTCAAAGCCTATACTTTTTTTTTTTTTTTAAATATATTTCACTGATTTTCTACAGAGAGGAAGGGAGAGGGACAGAGAGCTAGAAACATCAATGAGAGAGAAACATCGATCAGCCGCCTCCTGCACACCTCCCACCGGGGACGTGCCTGCAACCAAGGCACACGCCCCTGACCGGAATCGAACCCGGGACCGTTCAGTCCGCAGGCCGACGCTCCACCCACTGAGCCAAACCAGCCAGGGCAAAGCCTGTGCTTTTCTACAACCCTCCTTGCTGGGTGTCTCTTCCGCGGTTGAGGGGGTGGGGAAGACGTGCTGAGCCTGCAGTGTCTGTCTAGTTTGCAGAGTTGAGCAGATTTGGGATGGGGACTCAGAGAGGGTCCTTAAGGATGAGCGTGAGGGTGACACTCCCCAGAAGGGCACCGGGGCGGGAGATGTCATTTCCTTCTCAGAGTCTCCAGGACCCAGCTACCTCCGGGCTCAGTGGGGTCCTGGCTCCCTCGGGGGGTGGGGGGGTGGTCAGAGGCCCTGTTCCACTTGGCGCCTGTGAGAGCAGGAGGGCCACCCTGTTCAGGGATTGCCCTTTCCTTCAAGGAGGTGCATGGCAGGCCTGGAAAGGGAGCGAAGGAGCCTGGGGGAGAAGCTGTGCCCCTGGGGGAGGAGCTGTGCCCCACGCTTCAGGAAGTTTTCCTTCAGCCCTTGGGTGTGTGACCGTGTGTGTGTGTGTGTGTGTGTGTGTGTGTGTGTGTGTGAGGGGGGTGTCAGCGGCTGAATGCAATGGAGGGATATCAGAGGCAACCCTTGATTTCCACCAAGGATGAACCAGACCTTAGAGTAACCCCATGGGTTAGCTGACATTGGCTGAAGAATTAAGGGGCCAGGAGGATGCACCAGCTGTAGGCAAAGGGAAGGAGGTGGGACTATAGCAGGGAAGCTCAGACCTCTGGCTGACCAAGTATCCAAGGGGATGCCTTGAGGGAGTAGCCAGAAGAGAAAAGCCTGGGGTCCAAGGGAGGGAGGATAGTGTAGCCCCTCCCCTTTCTTTAGCCCCTTCCCCTCCCCCAGTCAGTGGGAGGCAAGCAGCCCAGGCACTGAACTCTACTTGGTTTAATTACAGCCTCTAGCCAAAGGAAACCTCAATTAGAGGAAAAGCTCTGTACCGGGAGAGGGGAGTTGAGACTGGCTGTAGAGGCTGCTGTCCTCCTGGCCTTTTGCAAAAAGGGAAGAGGCTTTTGCTTCCCCATCTCAGGTCTTGAGCTTGTATTTCCTCCTCTAGTGCCCACTCAGTGCCTCTTCCTCTCAGACTTGATCTAAGATTTGCTGTGTGACCTTGGGCAGGTGACTTCACCTCTCTGATCCCATTTCCTTATGTACAAAATGAGGATCTCAACGTGCAGGGAATGTGGAGAGGATTATGGGACAAAGTGCCAGGCACGTACTTGGCGCTTAATATTTGCTGGCTGGTCCATTGGGAATCTGGTGGTTGAAAGGGGTTGCTGTGGCATCCAGTTGAGGTTGTGGGTAGAACGTTGTCCCCAGCGTGGGGAGCAGGTTTAAGATAAAGCCTGGGCTGGGGAACAGGGGAACGGAATAGGTGTGGGAGGCCCTGCTCCTGGGTTATGGTGGGCCCCCTGGTATCGGGTGGGTCCTCCAACAACAAAATGCTCTGTTTCAGGTGGATGATGCTATGCTGATGTTTGACAAAACCACCAACCGGCACCGAGGTGAGCGTGGCCCCTCCCCCTTTCCAGGCCAGGCTGGGGGCCTGTGGTCAGCCAGGGGCTGCAGGTCACAGCTGCCCTTTCATCTCTCCTCCTGACATCCTATCCCTGAGGATCTGCATCCTCTCTAGGGCCTGGCCTTACAGAAGGCTTTTGTCCCGCCGTTTCCTGTGCTAGAAACTTGCAGAATTGCAGACACCCGAGAGGAGCAGACTCCCCCCAGCTGAGCCCTCCCCCCCACTCGGCCTGCTGTCTGCCCAGCCAGTGTCTATACTGGGGCTTACCTCGTCCCTGGTAACCAGAGCGCAGGCCAGGCTGCCCCAGGGTCAGGCTGACTTGCTGACTCAAAGCCCTTCACCCCCACCCCCCTCCGGCGGAGCCCAGCCCCCAGTCCCCTTGCCCCTGAACCTGGGAGCATCTAGGCCACAGTGTTTGCACAGCCTGGTTGTTTTTCTCCCAAAGGCCTTGCCTCCTGAGGCTCCCATTCCAGTCCCTGGGGCACACGGGGAGGAGGCAGGGCTGTGTCTCCAGTTGCTTCAGGACTTTGGGCCTTTTACCCTGTTGTGGGAGTGGGGTGTGTGCGTTGTCTGTGGACATCTGCATGGGAAGGTGTCAGTGTCTGAATGTGTATTTCTGTTGTATCAGGGCGACTGTGTACATGCACACAGGGGTCTTTATGTGTTTGGGAGTACGTGTGTGTGTCTACCTGTGAGTGTGGCTGTACAAACATATGTTGGGTGTGCACACTTCTGTGTGAGTTTACATGAGGGTCTGTCTGTGCGTGTTCTTCCCTTCCTCTTTGGAAAGCATCTGGGGAAGAGAAAGGGCCGTGGAGTGAAGTTTCGTCAGAGCTCTGCCGCTTTCCCTTGCTGTGTGACCTTGAGCAAAGCACTTCCCTTCCCTGAGCCTTGGTGCTCACATCTGTGATTTGGAACGAGGAACCCTGTCTCGGCAGGTGTTGAGGCTCCTGGGCTGAGGACACAGCCTCTTGTTAACGCTCAGACACTCCCCTGCAAGAGAGGAGGTGGTGTTGGTATGACTTGGGGCTGGGTTTTGACCATGAGCCCGGTTCTGACCCTGTGTTTGCCCTCTAGGGTTCGGATTTGTCACGTTTGAGAGTGAAGACATCGTGGAGAAAGTGTGTGAAATTCATTTCCATGAAATCAACAACAAAATGGTGAGCTGGGGTTGGACAGGGTGGGGGTGCAGAGAGAGACTTTGGCTCCTAGCTGAGCCAGCCAGGGGCGCTCAGAGGCTCTGGAGGCAGGCAGAGGGGCTCAGTCAGTGGGGTTGAATCAGTCGCCCCCACCCTGAAAATCTGGATAGCAAGGCAGTGTCCTGTGGTGGTTAAAAAGCCTGGTTTGGGTGGGGGGGAGCAAAAAATAAAAAAGCAGGGATTGAAATCCTCACTTCACTACTTGCTAGTCTAGTCATTGGGCAGATGATTTTCGCTCTCTGAGCCTCGATTTCCTCATCTGTAAAATGGGAGTGACAATAGTACCTTCATGATTGGGTTGGTGTAAGTAAGCATTCATGAACTATTGCCTGCAAGCTGTTTTCACAGTGCCTAGCACAGAGTACATGGTAACTGACATTAACGATAAAGAGGCCGCCAGGGAACCGGCGGGCGGGTGGCCCGAGGACTGTAGGAGGACTGACCGCCAGGTCTCATTGCAGGTGGAGTGTAAGAAAGCGCAGCCGAAAGAGGTGATGTCGCCGACCGGCTCGGCCCGGGGGAGGTCTCGAGTCATGCCCTATGGAATGGACGCCTTCATGCTGGGCATCGGCATGCTGGGTATGTGCCAGGGCTCCCAGGGCTGCTGGAGTGTGGTATCGCCTCTGCGGTCTGCCCTCCTCGCTTGAGTCGTTGGGGGGAGTGGGGACCGAGGCCCTCAGGTCTGGCAGGCCTGCCAAAGGTGGGTAGTTTGTTGTGGGGCACTGCCCTCTGGTGGTGGCCAAAAGAATGGTCCAGCTGCTCTTCACTTGGTCTTGTCTGTTCATCCATTCATCCATCCAGTAAATAGGTATTGAGCAACTATAAACGCCAGGCACTGTGCCAAGAAGCACAACAGTGCCTATCCTTGGACCTTTATGTTTAAATGGAAAACAAACCAGTAATAACATAAATACATGGCTTCAGGATGGAGAAGTGTAGGGTGCCAAGGGAGCATGGGTCATAGGGCACTTAACGAAGACTTGAAGAAGCCAGAAAAGAAGATACATTTCAGCTGAGTCTGCAGATTAAGTAGGAGCTGGAGGAAAGGGAAGGGAAAAGTGTTCCAGGCAGAGGGAACAGCACTTACAAAAACCACAGGCCTTTGGGAAGGAAAAAAGGCTGCTGCTTGTTCATTCAACTAATATTGATTGAGCAGCTTCTGAGAGGCAGCACCTGCCCTCATGGGGTTTCCCATCAAGTGGGAGACAGGAGTGAATTGGCAATGTCACCACAGAGGGACTGGAAGCAGTGGGAGCCCAAAGAGAAGCCTAAACCCACCTGGGAGTCAGGGAGGCCCCCTGGAGGAGGTGAGGGCTACCATGAGCCTCAGAAGTTGAGCAGGATCAGCAACACCTGGGGCCCGCGATTGAGGGTAGAAAATCCGAGCTGGGCCCCAGGAAGCTCACAGGTTCCCTGGAGAGACAGGATGTGCACACACAGAAAGAGGTCTTTATGCTGGGGAGGGGGGAGGGGTGCGCTGGGAATTCCAAGGAGGGGGATATAATGTGGCTAGAGGGCCAGGTTTGGGGTCACAGATGGGGTGGGTGAGGACAGCAGCCTCCAGTTGGCGCATGGTCTTCTCGAAGTTTTGGGTGGTTTTTTCTCTTTACTTTTTTTTTTTAAATATATTTTATTGATTTTTTACAGAGAGGAAGAGAGAGGGATAGAGAGTTAGAAACATCGATGAGAGAGAAACATCGACCAGCTGCCTCCTGCACATCTCCTACTGGGGGTGTGCCCGCAACCAACGTACATGCCCTTGACCGGAATCGAACCTGGGACCCTTGAGTCCGCAGGCCAACGCTCTATCCACTGAGCCAAACCGGTTAGGGCTCTTTACTTTCTATATGGAAGTAGTTGCAAACTTTCAGAAGAGTTGAAAACATGAAGTAGAACACAGCACATCCATATACCCTTTACCAGATTCATCTGTTATTAACATTATCCCCACTTACTTTGTCATTCTCTCTCCCTCTCTCTCTCTCTCAGTCCGCAGGCCGACGCTCTATCCACTGAGCCAAACCGGTTAGGGCTCTTTACTTTTTATATGGAAGTAGTTGCAAACTTTCAGAAGAGTTGAAAACATGAAGTAGCACACAGCACATCCATATACCCTTTACCAGATTCATCTGTTATTAACATTATACCCACTTACTTTGTCATTCTCTCTCCCTCTCTCTCTCTCTCTCCCTCTCTGACTCTCTCCCCCCCCTCTTTCTCTCTCTTCATACATATATCGACACACACACATAATACACTTGTGATTTTTCCCTGAATTATTTGAGTAAATTGCATGCATTATGGCCTTTTACCCTTAAATACTTCACTGTGTATTTCCTAAGATTAGGGATATTCTTTCATGAGACTACATAATAATTGCCAACGTTATACATTTATATTAATATGGTATTTTAATCTAACCTACCTATTTCTGACTTTACTTGTTGGCCCAGTAATGTCCTCTAGAGCATATTTTTGCCTCCACGAACGAGCCCAGGGCTAGAGTCACGCCTTGCAGTTAGTTGTCCTGTCTCTTTAGCCTCCTTTGATCTGGAACATGGAGAAAGTTTTCTTTTCAAGGCGATTTGTTTTCCACCCTATTTAAAGATTGAAAGCAGAAAGGGGAGTCCTCTGACAGCTGGTGAGAATGGCGGCTGAGTGCCTTGGAGCCTGTCAATGTGAACCTGAATCCCATTTACACCGTTATTATTCCGATATGACTTTCGGTTCACAGCTCCGAGTACTTGTTAGACGCAAGCACCGTGCTGGTGCTGGAGATTCAGAAGGAGATGGTGGGGGAGACAGAAAGTCAGCACTTAAATTCTGAAATAGATTCAGAGAATGGTCTCCAGGGCTATGAAAGGGAGAAGCCACGGTGATACGATAAATATTGTAACTCTTGTGGGACGACCTCTCTGAGGAGGTGACATCGAGCTAAGATTTGCACAATGAAAAGGACCCAGTCATGTGAAAACCTGGTGGGGGCAGGGGGTGGCGCGTGAGTGTTCCAGGCAGAGGGAACAGCATGTGCAAAGGCCCTGAGGTGGAAGAGCTTGGGGAACTTGAGAAACAGTAGGGAGGTCAGTGTGGCTGGAGCAGAGTGACCAGGGACAGAGTGTAGATGAGGATGGGAGGAAGGCAGGAGCCAGAGCATGAGGGCCTGGCAAGGGTTTGAATTATTCTTAGCCAGGAAGTGTCAGCTCTTTTGAGCCTCCGTTTTCGATCTATACAATAGAGTTCCCAATGGTAACGATTGCTTAGGGTTCTTATGAGGTTGAAGGAGAAAGATCGTGCAGTGGGCTTGGCCAGGGCTTGGCCTGCGGAAGGTGTCTGGTACATGTGACTGGCTGTTACCTGGGAGATGAGCTGGGAGGGAAATGAGTGGCTTGGCGTTCCCGCTGACCAGGGTGAGGCTCTGACACTCGTTCCCTGGCCCCACCAGGTTACCCCGGTTTCCAAGCCACGACCTACGCCAGCAGGAGTTACACCGGCCTCGCTCCCGGCTACACCTACCAGTTCCCCGGTGAGTCCTGTTCGGTGTCTCTGCTGCTAGCACGTCCCCGGTTCCCAGGCAGTCTGACTCCTCAGGGCGGTGTTTGGGGGTGCATGGCTGGGGCTGGGGGGCTGCCTGCTGGATGTTTGGAAGGAAGGGCATGTCTGAGGAAGGAGCACCTCTCCCCACCCACCCCTTCCTCCCCCTCCCGAGAAGCTGGGGGTGGGAGCGCCAGCGGGGCCCTGCATGGCAAGTTCCCTCCCTGGCCGGC